TGTAGGTGCAGAATGAGACCAACATTTCTATACATCTCCCATTAATTTATTTTGCTTGACTATATATTTGTTACAAGAGAGGTCATTTATGGGAAGGGAGTAGTTTTAGTGATACTGATTTTAAAAACAGGGAAGAGAGGAAAGGAAAGAGTATTAGTGAAACATTCACAAGCTACAAGGAAGAGACCAGGGGTTGATTGGTGGGAGACAGAGACAAGCAGGGCAATATTGCTGCTACCGTGTTAAATGTAATGTACAGTAAAAGGAATGAGCTTTTCATAGTAAATTCATAATTTCATGTATGATTACCATTTTCAGCCTTTGTGTGTAGAAATGTTTCTTGGTGATTTTCTAGTTTATAATACAAAAAAAGAATGAAAATAATCAAAGTCTGCCTCCCTCTGACTTCTATTGGTTTTAGTTTTGGCCTCTGAGATCAAGCAGTTCAAATTTAATCCATCTTCTACATGCCAACCCTCATGCATGACAGACAATTAAATTCATATTTGAAAACAAGTAGCCCATCCTTACCTAAGTTTTTCTTCTCTTCTGAGTAGAGTAATATAGTAGAAAGGATACTGGAGAAATTGAGGTTTGAATCTTGGCTTTGATACTTCAGAGCTATGTTATCATGGGAATTAACCTCACTGAGTCTGTTTCCTCATCTGTAAAATAGGGATAATTCTTTTTATATAAGGAAAATGCCTTGTAAATCTTAAATTGCTGTGTAAATATTAATAATTATTATGATATGCTAAAATAGAGTAGTATATAGGGCACTGTATGTAGAGTCAGGAAGGCCCAGGTTCAAATCTAGCCTTAGACCTTTATTAGCTTTGTGATCTTGGGCAAGTCACTTAGTTTTCCTGTACCTCTGTTTCTTCATCTGTAAAATGAGGGAGTCAGAATAAATGGACACTTAAGGACATTTAAAACTTTAAATCTCTGATTCAGTGATTACTAGATCCTTCAAATCATCTTAATATGGTCTAATTTCCAGCCATCTTCATCTTGAGTTCTCTCTTTGGACAGGTCAAAGCCCTTTTACTCAACTATGTAGAAATCTCTAGTGACATCCTCCCTGTAACAGCATATTTGGAGAATTTTCAATAAAGCTCTAAACTGTATTTTAAATTCTTCCAAGCCTCATTGAACAAGGAGAGAGAAGGAAAAATATCAGGTTTCTGGAATGATGTGTCCACATTAGCATATCCTTGTACTATCTGGGCTATCTGTCCATTTTAAAATCTATTTGACCCAAGGAACAAAGCGATTTGATTTGCTATCTCAAAAGATCATGAAATGAAATTTATGTATCTAAACTGAAGCAACTGGAATGGGTGGCACTAAAAAAACTGGAACTCAAAGTACCAAATGCCTTTCTGACACGGCCAAACCACTTTGACAAACCCTCTGAGAGGCATAGCCATTATCTCCAAAGGTAGCAGATAGATATATCTTTAAACAAAATTGGCCTGTGCATATTCACTTACATGCTCATGGTTAGAGACACAAAGGCTCAACCAAAGGAGATAAGATATGTTAAGTTCTTTAAAAACCTTAAAGCATTATAGAGATATTAGTAGTTATTTTATTATCTTCTCCATACAATACAGACTAGGTCAACTACTTAAGCTCAAAATGTCTCCCCCTCAAGCTTTTTCTTCTCTGCAGATTGGAGGCTAGGGTGTTAGTCTTCTTGAAGCATTCTTTCAAATACATGGGCCTGTACATACCCTCAGTCTCTCTCATTTACTTCAAAAAAAAAAGCTTCATTTCCCAACCATCTAACCCATACTTCCAAGTGGACATAGGTTTAAAAAAAAGCCTATTTATTTGCTTATCAGCATGGAGGGAGACCTAGAAAACAAAGTGATCAGGGACAAAATCAATTACTATTTTTCATCTTTGACAAAGTAATTAAGACTGTAGTGACTTGTTAATTCAGTCAGAATGGTTGCTGCAGTGATGGATGCAGATTTCCAGTCACCCCTGTTTCAGTGTTGGAAGGCGGTTATCACTCTAAACAGGCTGCAATAGACCAGGCAATCTCTCTAAGAAGACGTGTTTTCTTTTTTAAAGCCTACACAAATTCATTCTGTCTCTGTCTCCCATTCTTCCCCCACACTCTCCCCTCCCCCCTTTTACACAAGCACACATTCTCTGGCATGATGATAGCCCTAAATCAATGACATACACAGTAGCCTACACACCACCTGCACCAGACCCATAGGAGCACTGTGCCCTAAGTCTCTCTCTCTGTCTCTCTCTGCCTGCCTGTCTCTCTCTGTCTCTCCCACCACCCTCTTTCACCTCCACTCCATAAGTCCTGCTTCACTTCACTGACACATCAACCACACATGAAAAGGGCCAGCCAAATCCAATGCCATCCCCTCTGCCTTCCCCAGGTCTGAATCTCCTCTCCACCTTCGGCTCTGTCCTGTTCAGGTCCCCACAAAGCCAGAGAGACAGCCAGGGTTGACAGCCTCCCTTTCACATCTTTGGTGTGGGTTGGCTCTTTCTGTCTCTTCTTTCCTGCCTGATTGATGGGGCTCCAGGGAAACAGTGACTGGGGTGATAGGAACTGGGCAGGCGGAGGGGGGAGGGAGGGGAATTTTGCTCCCAGGGTAGCTTAACCTGCGGACTTCCTCCTCTGCTGTGCGTTCCTTTCCCAACTCCTTAGGAGCCTGATGTGCGGAATATACGCGGGAAACTCAAGGACCCGTGACTAGAAGAGGGACCGGACAAGGGGGAGACCACGTCAGACCCCTTGACCTAATGGGCGGCTCTGGCGTCACCACAGTGTTTGACTAGCCTCGGAGTTGGGAAAGGAGGAGGGTGATTGGGTTGCTATTTTTACTTCTCTATGAGGTACATTAGCTGGGACTGGTGCTGGACGTGACACAGGGCTCCCACTCAGCAATTCCACCCAAATGTCCATCAAGTTAAAAAAAAAAATCCTGACCGGGGATTAAAAAAAAACCAAACAAACAACAAACACGTGTAACTCTTCCGTTCCCGGAACTTTAGGGGCTACGTGGGCCAATAGAGCCCAGACTCTAGCTTCCCCTGTGCAGTCAGAACCCGGTTGTCTTAAACAGTGTGGCAGGCGATGGGGACAGGGAGGTAGTCTAGGGATGGGAAAGAGAACGCCTAGACTACCTTGCTGTTTGGAAGTAAGGTTAAGCTGAGACTCACTCCTCAGACGGCTTCTGGGTTGGGGGCTCTTCGATGCTTTAAGTGTTGGAGTGGGGGTAGTGGGACAACAACCCAAAGGCCTATTGTGTATGTGAAGCAGAGCAGGCTATGGGAAACACTTTTGACTCTGAAGTCCTAGGACCTTGGTTGTCATCAATTCCACCCAATTCCCCAACGAATAAAATTTTTTAAAAATTCCGACTACGGTTTTTGTTTTTTTGCTCCCGAAGCTTTAGGGATAAAGAGGTCGAAAAGAGTCCAGACTCAAACCCGTGAGGGACCTCGCCGTGTGACCGAGAGCAAATCACTTCACTTCTCTGAAGGCTCAGGTTCTTTATTTGCACGATGAGGAGGGTGGACCAGATGATGTTCAAAGTCTTTCCAGCTCTAAGTTCAGTGGGTCTTCAGGTTCCCGTCTCCCCCCCATTTAATTTTCGTTTCTTCTTTAATGACCTTCTTACTGTTTGGAACCCAAATCTGAAGAACTGGGGCAGTTCGGTTTCTCTTCGTTTTGAGCTTATCACACGTCCTAGAAAGAAAAAAAATAACAGAATCCTTCTGCTATCCTCTAGGTGCTTAACCTTAGGGACCCCAAGCAAAGAAAGCCAAGTTAAACCAACAGCCCTTTAGACATTTGTAACTTTTCTCTTTTGAATACCTGATACTTGATAAATGGACGGGATTTTGGGGGTAGTCTAGCACATAGCAGGCGCCAATTAAATGCTTGTGGGTGGCAACAATAGAGGGCGATTTAGAACACGACAATCTAGAAGGGGAGGGGGGCTAAGGCCAGTCTAAGGAAGCATGGCCATTTCAGTCTGCAAATGCCTCTGTCCCCGCACCCCGCAACGTGGTCAGATGAGCTGTCTTCCTTCGCTGAGGTGTCATTCCAGTCGGGGGCCTGCACGAAGAAACATAATCGTGATTCTTTTCTCCCCCATCGCTCACTCTCTGCTCCCTAGCTTACTCTGGCTCCCGGCGCCTCTGAAGCGGAAAGGGCTCGTGGACCCAACTACTATTGTCTCCCTCCAGGAGTTCTTTACTAGCTCTGCAATGTAAAACATTGGACTGACAAAGGCAATCAACCTTCTCTACATGCTCCCTTCTTTCGAAGGTGGAAGAGGGAGGGGAGGCTGCGGGTAGAGGCTTGCTGCGGAAAACCTCCGCTGTTATCTGTCCAGCATGCAGCTCAGTGTGTACTTGTGTGAAGCGGAGAGGTGGGAGGGAGACAGAAATGGGAGGGGGATGGAGGTGGTAGCCGCAGTCTCTACGGCTTCTGCAGGAAGACTTCGACTGCCTGCCCTTCCCCCAGTTTCCATTGGCGCAAACAGAACACCCAATACAATGTGGGTTAGTGGCGGTCTCCGCATTGTTCTTCCACTGCATGGGGGGGGGGGGGACGGGACCCTTGGTAGTGTAGTTACTGAGGTGACACAAAAGCTGTGGATCCCCAAATAAGGAGTTAGCTCAATGGGGGTTGGGTAGGGGGAGTAAGCGGGAACTACCTGTGATGTTGGATGAGGGCAAACCACAACCGTTCTTTCACTGTCTTTTCTCTCTTCAGAACCCTCCTCTTCCCTCCGGCCCACACCCCTACCCGTATCCCTATCCCTGGGGAGAGAGGTTGGCAAGGTTGGAAGGTCGGGTACTAAAGGCAATAGTACCTTAATTTATGTTTTCTCTTGTCTCCCAATGGCACTTGCCCGGGAAAGATTTTTGTTTGTATGAGGTGTCTAATTCGTGTTCTGACCCCCGTCCCCCCCCCCCCGCCCCATCTTGCAGCAACACAGCGCTTACAAACGATGACTTTCTCTGCTTCACAGAAAGAGGTTGGCTTTTTTTTTTTATCATTGAAGGGAGCAAAGAAGGAGGGAAGTGGTGCATTTCCCTCCCCTCCACTTAAAAATAGAACTAAAAGTCACCCTAGACTTGAAAATAACTCTTCTTTCCCTCCTAAAAGCTTTCCCTCTTCCTTGGGGTTAAAGGAACGATAGGCTTCTTTCCCAATAAGGGGCGGGGGGGGGGGGGAAGGTCAACATCATTCCTCTCAGAGTCCTCGCTTGTGTTAACGAAAGTTAAATATAAATGACATAAACATAAATGGGATCCACGAAAATCTTATTTAGAAACTAGAGTGTGAATGAATCTGTAAGCCATAGATCTCATACATAGCTAGGTGGTCCTCTATGTATTATAAGCACCCTCAAACAGAAGTTAGCACTGGGTGCTGCTTCTCAAGAAAGATGGTATCATTTTAGAATTTGACTCCCAATCTAGAGAGCTGAGGAGACACCAGTCAGGCCTCGATGAGGAAGAGAAAGGGTCATAGGCAACAACAATGACTTAACCAACGAAAAAATAATTGGCCCAACCGCTTCTTGCTGGAGCGATGCTTCCCTTCACTTTAGGTGCAGTGGGACGTGGTCCTCACATGTTTCCTTTAATTAGAAGGAAGCAAACTTCTGTCTTCTCCTCCGGCTGGGCTCGCTTTAGTAATCAGACCCCTATGAGTCACGCTGAACACGCAAACCTCCTCCCGCCTGAGTGACAAGGGGCCGGCGCACTCTCGGCTGTTGTTGTCTCTTTAAAATCGGAATCCAAGGGGTAATGATTTATCAAACTCTTATTATCAAGAAAATGTCAAACGAAGGGCACCTTGCTATGCACTGACGCAAACCCAATCTTTCCCAGGGAGATATAGAAAGCTTTGCTCTGGAGGGAACAAAATCCTTTCCATAGATAGCCTGTTCTGCAGGATCTTGTCTTCTACCAATTCAATCTGTTGCTTATCTAAGACAATGGTAAGTGTTTGTTTCTATTCCTTTTGGAGATCAAGAGGGCTGAGGAGAGAGGGAGATTCGCTTTAAAAATCAATGTTTAAAAAATGACACTGTTTGGTGTATTTTCGGGAGGTGAGTTGGGGGAGGAGAGTCTCGGTGCCTCAGGTATTTATATTTGTAAGTTTCCCTGTCGGTCTGTTCAAGGTTGGAGGTCTCTTTGAACAGATTAGCCTAGGAGCGCTGTCCGTGGTGCTGAACAGTTAGATTCCTGAATACAAGGCGGAGTAGCTCACGGATATAGCAGCAACTGTGAAGGGATCCTATACAGAACTGCAGGTATTTGAGATTGATACAAAATGAAACCTTTAGATTCGTGCTTTTGTAAGATTGGAAGGGGCCTGTTCGCATATAGATTTATTTGTCGGTGCTAAGGTTTAATATGCCATGAAAAGGAAGCAAAAAAAGGGGATTTGGGTAGGGGGTTGTTTTCATTCGGGGTAGAGAGGGGAGACAGTTGGGAAAATAAACAAGAATTAGCAGCTTGCTTGGAAGTCATCATATCAGATTAACTCTGGAAGGAGATTTGAGTGTTGGAAACAGTCGTTCTCGAAAAACTTTACAAATTCCTTTAGACCTTTTACAGATTTCGAGGAATACCAATATAAGTATGTAGTAACCAATGCTCACATTTTATCCCCGCTTTTTTCTTTTTTTTCATATTCTCTTTGTTTGATCGTGGGGCTCACTCCTTCCTCCCTATTTGACGGTTAATTAGGTGGCTTTTTGAGAGCTCGAAACGGAGCAAAGGGTTCGGCGGTACGGGGAGGGGGGCATTTTGGCGGGTGCCAAAGCACTGGCTATGTAGTCTGCTGCCTGAGCCGCAGCAGCTTGTCCATACCCGAAAAAAAAAAGACAGTGTGCATTGTTGAATGACAAAGGAAATGGGGCGGAAAATTAAAGAATCTTTCTACACTGGTGATGGGGGAAGCAGGCACCCTACAGTCGTGTTGTGAAACCAAAAGAGGCCGAGAGCACACAGCTGTAGAGATATTTGCTCCCGCCTCTCACTCCTCTTACGCTCCCCCCCCCCCAATCATCATTTTGGCTTGGTCTCTCTCCGTTCACTCTTGAACTGGGAAGACATATTATTAGCCTATTCGTGAGATGTAGTCATTGACGAGATGGGCTAATTGAAAAATATTGGCTTGTCTATATAGGCATATATATGAAATTCCCACTCCCAATTACCTTGCTAGACATTTTGGAGGCGGTGATAAAATTATTGGAATATTCTTTTATCTGTGTACAGATATACATATCAAAAGTATTGTGATTTTCTTTTTACTCGAAAGTGACATTGTATTCTTAGGATTACTCGGGTCCAAAGGATATGAACAAGCCGCCTGCAAATAGCTTGGAGGCTTCGGGAAACCCAGAAGGCTCCTCAGTGACAAGGACCAGTCCCGAGCCCGACCCTTCCCCTGCTGCCCCTTCCCAGCCGCCTAGGATTGCCAAGTCGGCTTCCAACGGTATTCAAACTTTCCTTTCGGAAGAAGCCAAAAGCTACGAGTCAGAGCGGACCAAAGTTGGGATCTGCAGCGCTAGGGCTCCACTAGATGCTGCCTCCCGCCAGGATTCTATCGAGTCCCATGCCCTGCAGACCATTTCCCCTACTGCGGGCCCGGGCCCAGGCAATGCTCAGCACTGCAGGATTCCCGCCCTTCGAGGTGCCAGCGTTGGAGGGGATGAGAGTGGGAGCCCGGGCAAGGGATCGCTGGAGAAGAACAGTGCTCAGGCTGCAGGTTGGATAAACATGAGCCAGAGCACTGTGGTGCTGGGCACAGACGGCATCACTTCGGTTCTGCCAGGCAGTGTTACGACTACTTCTACCCCTGCGGTAAGTTTGGTTTCTGCTTCTCCCTCCCCGAACGCCCTCAAGCCAGCAAGACATTTTCAGGCTTCACTGCCCTCAGTCCCTCACTGCCCTGCTTCTGTTAATTGGGCAGAGAGCCAGGAGAATAAGTGCTTGCCAAATATCAAGCTGAAACCAGAGTAGGAAGAGTCTTACCCTGTGGTGAATGGGTGGGTGCAGCTAGAAGCAGTTTGGAGCTTTAAATGCTCCTGGGTCTCCAGGTCAGTGAAAGGGAGCAGGGGATGAGGGCATGGGATGGATCTGTTGAGGTATTGCTAGGATATGGACTGTTATGCAAAGCATACCCCCAGCTCAGGTGGCGGTGGTGGTGGGATGCAACAGAGCTGACTCCAAAATATGAGATGGAGCCTCTTTGGTCAGGACAGAGCCACTTCCTTTAACAGGTATAGCCCCTCCCATTTATGATTAATTTTGTTCCCTTACTACCATTGTCTGGAACCTACTGGAGAAAAAGAAGGAACTCATGCCTATGGGAATTATTTATGACAATTAAATGAATTGGAAATTCCAGACTGGGGAAGTGGTAGCATTCTCTCCCCCTTTCCCCACAAGAATCTTACCCCCATCAAGGGTAGGTAAATGCTGAGGAGCACTTGAAATAATTTTGGGAAGCATAGTCAACCAACCCTGTGCCTCTTCTTTATGGTAGACAAATACCTCTTTTCTCATTTAGTTCCTTTCTCTTTCTTCCTTCCTGTTCCTTCCCATTATTTTCCCTCGACCTCCTTTCCTGCCTGTGCCCTAAACATGCAAATGGTTCTCAGTGCCATTGGCCACTGGCCAAATTGGCTGAGGGACCCTTTTGGACTTAGGAGTTGGGCAACTGAGAGTTGCTAAGATTGTCTGCTTGAGTCAGGTGATCCTATCTGCAGGATTTGAGGTGAAAACTCTTAAACATTCTTTCTTCCCTGAATTCCCGGTCCTTCATTAAAGAATCCCTTCTTTCTTCCTCTCCCCCGTGCTCCTTTTGCCTCCTCCCCTCTTCCCCCCATGTCTGCCTCAGATAACTGAATACATATAGCTGGGCTCTACCTCTCCGGCAGGAGCAGGGATTGTGCTGAGGAGAGGATAAAGGCACAGGCCACATTCCCTCCACTCTCTTTAAAAACAAATAAACAAATTCCCATGGGGCAAAGATGTTTGATGATTCTCTCTGGACTTGCCCCCTGCAGAATCAAGGGCAGTGAGTCTGTCTGTCAAAACGCAAACGACAGAAAGACTACCTCATTTACTTGTCTTTCTACCTCTACACTGATGAACAGGGCAGAGCTTCAGTTGCATTCTGTCCCTTTCTCTGTGTCTCCCCACCCTCAGACCTCTGAAGGGGAGAGAGGAATACCCCAACCAAATGTAGTCCTTATTCTTGCCTGATTTAAGACCTATACCCCCACCCCTGACTGCCCAGTCTTTTCCAACCCTTGCCTTCTCCTCTTCTCATTTATTCCATTCGAATTTCTTCCCCCAGTATTTTCCTTCATAAATCAGTCCATTTTCCGAGGGTCGCGATAACCGGGTCCGTCTTCGAACCCACTCAATAAAAAGGACATAGAACACAGAGTTCTGGGATATGCTGAAGTTCTGAAGGGGAAAGAGGAAGGATCTGAAGTGGCCACGGCCCCTAAAATCTCGGTCTAGTGACCTGCCCCCCCCCCTTTACACTTTAGTTTGCCTGACAGGCTTCTGAGAGGCCCGTCTTCCCATTCCTGGAAGCCATGCTGTATCTTAGTTGCCAGCAAGGGTGAGGTACTCGGGCGAAAAGATTCTTTCAGATATCCATTTGCGAAGAATCAGATTCAAGGAAAACTCCAAAATTTTGGACGCTAATTAGGAATGTACTTCCCTGCCTTTCTCCATTGTTCTGAAAATACTTTCTAGGTCGTTTCCCCATCTCTAAAATCTCGCCCTTTCCAGCTCCCCCCCCCCAATTCATTCCTTGCCTCCAACCCATTCCTTCCCTCTAACCGAAGTAGAAAATACTTCTGAATTAAGCTTATCCCCTCCCTCCACCCACCTGGGAGCTGTGCATTTAACGTCCCTAGGCTACATAACAAAAAGAGGTTCAGTGGGAGAGAGCTTCTCCCCAGTTTTGCTTTAGCGCAGGTGCCTAAGGAAAGTGCTTGATCGGGGTTTATTTATTTTTATTTATTTATTTTTTGGGGGGGGGGAGTATAGAAGAGGGAGGAATGGGCTTGGAGGGTGAGGGGTGAAAAGGGCAGTATGAGGGTCTTGCTTGTTGAATGGACACTGGGGTTGTTATGGGACCGACCAATGTGCTTTTCCACCCCTAGGAGGACGATGAAGGGGATGAGAATAAAGCCCGAGGGAACTGGTCTAGCAAACTGGACTTCATCCTGTCCATGGTTGGGTACGCAGTGGGGCTGGGCAATGTCTGGAGGTTTCCGTACCTGGCCTTTCAGAATGGGGGAGGTAGGATTTTCTGCTCTATTTCCTCCGGGAGGGGCTACCGGGCGCTTTATAGTGGGGCGTGGGAGGGACTTCGACTCCGCCTGGAAAGATGTTCTGGGCTGCTCCCACGGACCTTGAGGACGCCTGTTTCTTGCTAGTTCCTTAACGGGGAAACCTAAGAAAACTGACCAGCTGGATCCATTTAGATTCCGGATCCAAATAGGACCCATCACTTAAAACCCTGAGCATGAGAAAATAAACTGGGAGGTTTGGGGCTGGGGGTGTGAGTCTATTTGCTTCAATAATTACCATCCTGGCCACGAGACAACCGTGGCCATTATCACATTGCCCTCCTACACACACACACACACACACACACACGCTCACTCTGATGAAGCAGTTGAGTCTTATTAGCCTTTCACTATACATTTACTGAATCAGGAATCATGTATGCTGAGGCTGTTCTAGGCGCCTAGAATCTTAAAGCAGGTTGAGATTCTTAAATAATCCTATCCCACCAGGAGAACACACTTAAACCAAAATTTTACAACCCAGAGATTCCCACTCCCGAAGACAAGTTATTAACAGTAGACTTGATTATTGTTTTACTGATCTGAATGGGTACCATGCTGTCTAGTGTGAGTACTGTACTAATCTGATATAAATACTTGTGAAAAATAATTTGGGTGATGAGGTGAGAGTAGTCTCTCAAAACACTTAGCGACCGCACAGACAAACATATATATATATATATATATATATATATATAATATATATATATATATATATATATATATGTATGTATGTATGTATGTATGTATGTATGTATTGGCAGGGCATATTTTTCAATGAGCTAAATAGAACCCTGGGCGATTTTCGTTGTTTTCACCTTTACTGCGAGTCGAAGGGACTCTTTTGGAAGGGGAAGCCTTTTTTAAATGAGGTAGGCACCCTCCAACAGGCGACAACCAGTCTCTGGAACTTTCTTGGCCCCCGAGTTCTCCCCTCACACGCTCGGTTAAACGGTTCTTAATTCTTGCCACGCCTGCTGGAAAACTTGGCAACTTTTGAGGTCACCCAAGGCGCTTCTGACTCTAGTAAAGTCTTTTGTGGTTTGCTTTGGGGCTGCGATTCTATCTAATCTCTCATGTCCTCAGGCCAATCCAAGTCACTTGGCTTGGCTGCCCTACAGGGGTAGTTCTAAAGCAGAGATCCTTCTCTAAAGCCCCCAGTACAGCTCATCCCCTCCATCACCCAGCGGAAATGCTCAGTGTTGAATAGGAAAAAGGCAACTCTCAAATCCACCTGCATTTAGTAATTTTCCTCACCAAAGAGATCTCCGAGTCCGGACAAAGTTGCTATTTGATTGGCCGGTGTCCCCACCTGGAAAAGCTACGCACCTGGACAGAATTCTCACGGCACAAAAAGTTCGCTAGAGGTCGTTGAGTGGTGCAGTGACTCAAGAAGAGCTGGGTTCAGAACTTACCACTGACACATACTAGCTGCGTGACCTTCGCTGAGTCACTTAACCCTTTATTTCCCTAAGCACTTCTTCTAAGACTGAATCATAAAGGTGTGATCTTCATCTCCGAGGGAAATTCTACAGTGGGAATTCCTCACGCAAGTGAAATCTGAAGTCAAGATGGAAAAAACAAACATATTAAAAACATCCCAAAGAATTCAGGGACACAACTTTTGCCATGTAGTCAATATCTATAAGAGCATGTAGGGATGTCAGTAATTAAGGTTCTTTTTTCCCCTCAAGGATAGTTTACCAGTAATGCTATGGATCAGGAATTCTTAAACTGGGGACTATAGATATGGATGGCGAAAAAAAAAATTGTGTCTTCCCCCCCCCCACTACTCTCCAACTGAAGTTCAACATTTCCTTGAATTATTTTAAAACATTATTCTGAGAAAGGATCATTACCAAACTGCCAAAGGAGCCCATGACACCCAAAAGGTGAAGGGCCCCTGCTATAGCTGTCCTTTGCCGTGATTATTTATCTCTGTATTCAGTTTGCTTGATTTTGCTACAATGGAAAGCTGGCCACAATTTCGTTCCTGTTTCTGAAATCAAGTACCTAGTAGATTTGCTTAAATCCACCTTCGTTACTGACTCGCCCTTGGGGGCTGGCCTGGCAGTTTTCCCGCGCGCACCCGGCCTGAGCCAATCATTTGCCTTCTTTCCTTGGCAGGGACGGGGGCGGAGAAGCCCCTGGAATAAAGCGTTCTCAGCGTTTTTCCGCACTGCGGCTTAGGAAAGCCTTGTTCTGAGCTCGCCTTTGGTTGGAGTTTGGGTTCGCTGGGGGAGGGATGCGGGCCCTGGATTGTTTCTAGAAAGGCTATAGGGAAAGGATAGAGCCCAGGGTGGGGGAGGGGTGTCTGTGTGTGCCCCACACAGCGCTCACTGCAGGGCTTGCTCACTGCAGGGCTTGCTAAGTCTGCCTAGCCTGGACTGCACCTACTGAGTCCTTGAGACTTTCCTGCTCGGCCTGCTCCTCTTCTCCACTCATCCCCTGCCACAACTGGGCAATCTGATCTGTGACTCGGCTACCCACCCAGGTGCCGAGGATCTAGGAGTCTTCCTTACCAGAGAACAATCTTCCTTCTACCCCCTCCCAATCTCAGTGCCTTCTGGATGACAGCCCATAGCCTGTTAGTGGATTAGCTTTTAGTAAGCTCTTAATATGTGCCCTACACATTACCAAACAGTAGAATTACAGAGAGAATTAAAAAACACAGTTTGAAAGCCAGGGAAGCTAGCAGCTTTGACTTGGTTTTCATTTTCAAGAAAAACTGAGATTTCTTAAGTTTTAGAATGGGAAGTGAATTTAGAGATTACTCTCAAACCTCACCTAAAGCCAAGATATGCTGGCTAAAGATACCAGTCTGCCTTGGGTATTTCCTTGGACTCCAGGCCCTCACCCCAGCTCTTGCCCTGTCACCTAATCACACCACCCTCACCAGTGGCCTTGGGGTCAAAACCCAACCAAGCAATTGATACATCCTCCCACGTGTAATGAAACCCTCTTCACTACACCTGTGGCTAATTAGTCATGGCACATCCCTGCAGAAATGTTTAAGATGCCCAGATGATTCAAGGTGATCAAGGGCTAATTTTAGCAGTCATGTACTCAGCCTTGTAGATAGAAGGCTAAACAGGAGTAACAGAATGAATGTTAAAGCAAAACCCCAAACCAACAGAGAGCATGAAATAGTGGAATGACCACTGATTTCAAGCCAGTATATGTGGGTTCAAATCTTTCCTGTGATATTATTTTAGTGACATCTAACAAGTAATTTAAACTCCCAAGACTTTATTCATTAACTATAAAGTGAGGAGGTAGGCATAGTCATGCTCTGAGGGCCCTTCTGGTTCTGAATCTATTATCCTAAGATTTTTAAAACTTCATTAAAAAAAAACTGAACTGACATCTAGTGAATCAGTAAAAGAGGTGAGGTAGAGTATTAAAATATTATGTAAGGGACATCTGAACCCAAAGATCTGCTATCATGCTGAATCTCTGATCCAAACATCTGAGTGCTACTCCAAGGGTTAAGGTGTAATGGTGCAGGATAGGCAGGTGCTGTTCTTCCTGCCCTAATTTTGAAACACATTCTTACTTTCTCTTCTCTTGTCCTTCTCTAATATAATAAGGTGCTTTTCTCATCCCCTATCTGATGATGCTAGCCCTGGCCGGTCTGCCCATCTTTTTTCTGGAAGTATCACTGGGGCAGTTTGCTAGCCAGGGTCCTGTGTCCGTTTGGAAAGCGATACCTGCTTTACAAGGTGAGCTACTTTGTCCCCTCCCCCATTTACCTCTTGCTTTGTTTCCTTTTCCTCCCCCCAGAACCCCTCAGTTTCCCTCCCAGTTTCTTCTTTAGGAATGGTAACTGTTAATTCTAGCTCCTGAATCTGGCACCATGAACCAGTGACCTTGATATACCAAGAGGTGAGGAAGGGTAGTCAGTCTCCAGTCACCAACTCCAATGCAAAGAGTCCTGCCCATGGACACAAGCCAGTTCCGAGCTTGCTCCACTGCATCCCCAGCTCCTCCTGGCTCTTAATCTCCAGGAAGGCTGCCTCACTCCCAAATCTCAGTTTCCCTTAATCCCCATCATGGGGAAGGTGATTCGATCTTGAATCCATACCCTAGAGATTCTAGCTAGCCTAGTAGTTTGATTTTTTTTTTGTTCCACTATTAACATTCTGGCTGCAAAAAAAGATTACTTGTTTTATGCCCCTTCTTCTTCTTCTTCTTCTTCTTCTTCTTCTTCTTCTTCTTCTTCTTCTTCTTCTTCTTCTTCTTCTTCTTCTTCTTCTTCTTCTTCTTCTTCTTCTTCTTCTTCTTCTTCTTCTTCCTCTTCCTCCAAAATGATTCCTGGGGCAATATCTGGATGCCACGGGATGGGATGGGGTAGGATGGGATTTTATTTGTGATTACTAACCTGTAATGTTTGCCCCCTTAGGATGTGGCATCGCTATGCTGATCATCTCAGTCCTAATAGCCATATACTATAATGTGATTATATGCTACACACTTTTCTACCTGTTTGCCTCCTTTGTGTCTGTGCTACCCTGGGCCTCTTGCAACAACCCATGGAATACACCAGACTGCAAAGACAAAACCAAACTTTTATTAGGTAAGTTGGGATCAGCCCATATTTGATTTCCCCCTCATTTTAAAGATCTTTATGTGGAAACCCTTTTCTGATGTGAAGTAGTTGGGCCTGGTAGAAAGTTGTCCATGTTTAAAGTTTGAGGTTAAAAAATGAAGGAACAGAGTTGTCTTTAAAGTGTGGGGTTAGAAACTAATGATGTGGGGACTTTGTCTTGATTCATTTCCTACCTCTGATTTACTACTTGAAAGATCTCGGGTGAGTCACTTGACATCAAGTCATTGGACCTCAGTTTCCTCATTTGAAAAATTTAGTCCAGCACTCTTATTTTACAGGTTAAGAAATTGAGGCTCAGAGAAATTAAGTGACTTGCCTGATATTACATAGATATTACATAACAGATCCTAGATTTGAACCTCTGACTCTAAGTCCTGTATTCTTTCTACCATACCTGGCTGCCTTTGGAGGGAAGAGATGGGTGTGGGTGTACTTGTGATGTCTTCTAACAGATATGATGCTTTCTAACATGTTTTCTTAACATAATGCTTGGCTCTGCTACTGAATAACTTTGTGATGTCAGATAAGTCAGGCAGCTGATATGAGTTGTTTTTATGAGGTTAGTATGAGATAGTGGGTAGAAAAGTGCTTTGTAAACTGTTGTGTATTCATGATGGGAATATGATGATTACCATGAATATTTATTAGTATTAATAACAGTTTTCTTTGAAATTTCTTTAATTTTAATGAAAATTCCCTGATATATCCTTGTTAAATATTCAATCAAATTAAATTCAGTCAAATTTAATTAAATATCTCATCAACCATAGACTACTTCTTCTGTTGCTGATAGGGTCTGTAATTGTATGATGACAAAGTCACAAGAGCCACTTAGAATTGCTTTTTCCCCCTACATTGGTGTTAAGGTATTATTTATACCTCTGAGTGATTTGGAAGGGAAAGATAAATCTTCTCTCCCCCCCTCAAGTTATGGAGGTACATAGCTAAACACAGTTTGATATCAGTATGGTTTAGCCAAAAGAACAGTGGATATACAGGCTTCAGGCTCTTCTCTGCCACGTATTAGCTGGATACCTTGGGCAAGTCACTTAACCTTTTTTAAACCTCAGTTTTTTCATCTGCAAAAGAGACAGCATCACTTGCAAAACCTACTTACAATTGTTTGGAGAAAAGTGCTACATAAATGTCAGTAATTATTACTATTTCTCAAGAGAGCTTTTAATTTGAAAGCTTAAAATAGAAAGGTCAAACTGAAGACATCATTGTCTAATAAAATGCTTACAACTATAGACTTAGAAGGCACCTTAGAGGTCATCTAGGCCAACTAATTCATTTTCTATATATATGAAAGGAAACTGAGGCTCAAGGGGATTAAGTAGTCTGTCCAGGTCATGTGAATAGTCATCAGAGGTGTGACTTAAATCTGGATCCACAGCTAGTATTTTTTCTACTATAAAATGCCACTTTCTTATTTTGGGGTTCTTCCCTCAAGCTACTATGAGGTCTTGGCACTTCTAGGGATTGTGTGTTCAGTCTTTTGTGCAGTCACAGAATTGGAAAATCTGCTTGCCATAACTACTGGCCAGAAAACACCCTGATCTATAGTTATTCTTCCACTCCCACCTAGCCGTCTGCCCTTGGCATGGGAGTCTGAATGTTTGTTCTCGATATTCTTTGGCTGCAGGAATCAAACCAAATAATGGGCTCAGGCCATTTTAGATTTAAAGGAAATATCAGTTAGCCTGGAATCTTGCCATTCAGTCCTGTGAGGCTGTTTCACAAGCAAGGTTATACCTCGGAGGCCAAAGGACTTCCAAGGAAATGCCATTTTGGAGCAGGGAGTTTTATCCCTGATTCAGCAGTCTGAGGATGATTTCCTCCTAGACACTGCAGAACTTGGACCTTGTTCTGGTGTTGTGATCACTGTGAATGTAAAGGTCAAATCCAGAACCCCAGTATTTTTAGTATTAAAAGGCCCCAGAACATTTTCTCTTAAGAAGAATGCGGTTCTCACTCTAGTTTAGTTTGGAGGTGGAAATGGTTCCATCTCTCCTTCTCCCTCCACACCTTGGTAGCTATTGGCTACCAAGAAGCAGTTGTCTCCAGGAGCATATGTGGTCCCCTAAGTGAAATAAAGTTATTCTGGGTTGAAGCCTTATTTAATGTTTTTGATCATGGGATCAAAACAAAATCTGGGCACCCTGATAAGTGTGAACTAAGTGTGAACTCTCTGACCATGGTAGGAAAGGTGATTTGAGTGACGTCCGAGTGTTTGAAAAAGATGCATCCTGTGTTTTACTGTTCATTGGATGTATAAAGTCTTTATTATAAGTGGCTTGAAATGCTATATGCCATTGAGAGTGGGATTTTCTGGCGTTAAAACTGTGCCATCTAACTCTAACAAATCGTATTTTAAAAATGTATACCATTTTGTACCCTCCCATGGGTATGGCATCTTAGCCTGCTGCCTGCTTTGCTACTTCCCCCTCACCAAGTATCAGCTCTGGTCAGGAGAGTAAAAGACAAAAGAAATAAAGGACTGATCCCTGCCCTTAAGGAGTTTATAGTCTAGGTGGAAAGACAAGCAGAACACACCTAACATACAAACGGAGAATAGTTCAGCTATATATGTATATACGTATGTGTGTATATATACGTACATATGTGTATAATTACATACATATACATATATACATACATATACATATACATAGATATAAAATATATATGTTCATAGTTGAAGAGGTGTGTTTAAATACTGTCTCTGCTACTTATACCTGTGTGACCTTGGGTAAATCGTTTAACTTTGTAGGGCTTTAGTTTTCTGTCCTGTAAAATGAAGGGATTGGATTTATGGCCTTAAAGGTCAGTTTCAGCTCTAAATCTATGATTGTATGCATCAACACTATGGTTTTCTTATAGACGAGCACTGTCCTTATCCTGTTGGGAATAGGAATATTGAGGTGATTTAAAACATGAACCCTTCCTTAACGGATTCAATAATTTAGCATCTATGGCAAGTACATTGTGTTATTCAGAATATGAATTATGGGAAAAGGGGTAAAAATCGTTCATCCTGATTATGTCCCTACAGACTATAAACTTCTCAGGGCAGAAATTTATGTAGTGTAGTGTTTAGTGTTTGATTTGAAAGTAGGGGATTTGGGTCCAAATCTTAGTTCTATTTCTTACTACTTGTGTTAGTATAGGGAAATTACTTTAAATTCTCTTGGCCTCAGTTTCTCATCTGTGAAATGAGTGGATGGGACCAGATGTTTTCTGGGACCCCTTCCAGCTCTAGATCTGATTATATGAGTTATCTTTTTCCAACTTTATATATATATATATATGTATATATATATATATACACACACACACATACAAATATATACATATATATATACACACACATGTGTACACACATATATGTATGCATTATGTATGTATGTATGTGTGTGTGTATATGTATGTTTCTCTAGACCCCTACCAGAGTGCTTTGTACGTCTTTGAAAAACCGAGTTCAGTTATTTGTGTAACTATTCTGGAGTGGTCTAGATAATCTTTGGTGATCTAATGTCCAGGACCTAGTTAAGCTACTCACTGCTCTAAAATCTTCAGTGGTTCCATATTGTCTCTTGAGTAAAGATTAACCTCCATAGCTTGCTAGTCAAAGTTCTTCAAATTCACAATCTCACACTATCTTTTTATCCCCTATAAGCTTTATTCCCTATAATTATCCTCCATGTATTAGATATTTCAGGCAAACTGGTCTGCTTTCTGTCTCTTGAACAGTGTGTGTATGTGTGTGTGTGTGTGTGTGTGTGTTGGTGCCTCTGTTTATTTTTGATACCTATAATGCTTTCCTTTCTTTGCCTGTTGAATACCTACCTAGCCTTTACAGTTCAATTCAAATGACATTTCCTCCAGGAAGCCTTCCCTGATGCCTTTCCCCCTAGACCTAGCACTTAGTTTTGCCCCTCTGTAATGCACTCATCATATACTATTATGTAGTTTTTCTCTGTCTTATGGCTCCCTGAGATCTTGCGACTGGGTGGCTTCCAAATTCTGCATCTCTCTAGGAGTGTTCAACACATAATAGAACTGTAATCAATATTTGTTGAATTAAGAATAAAGAATAATTTCCCTGTAATATGAGTCTTGTTGACCTTTTGGAAGAATGGGAGCTATATACCTTACCCCCAGAACATTAACAGAAACACGACCTAATTTAAACACATAAATATATCTTAATTTTAATTAAAATTTTAATTAAATGCTTCATTCCCTTCCAAGTCTTAAGAAGGAACGTGCTTTCATTTATTAAAAATTGCCCCAGCAAACAGAATTCCATCCTCACAATTAACGTGACCATTGTTTCTCCTCTTTGTTCAGGGTTGGTGAACTGCAGAAAACAAGGCTGAAAAGTTATCTCTGTAGGGAGATGGCTAGGTTTAGGGGGCTGGAAAGCACACTTTTGCCCCCTGATGGTAGAAAGGGAATGCTGCAGAAAGGAGAGAAGGTCTGGTACTGCAGAGTGGTGCACTGCAGCAGAATCACTGACCTTGCCTTCCACCCACCACTCTCTGAGAGATATAATCCAGTGAGTGCCTTGTCATCGCATGGTTTTACAATGCCCCCCCCCCTTTTTCCTCTGCTTCAGCATAGGTTCAGAAGGAATTCACTGTTTGCTTATTTCTCCTACTACCACGTTAGGTAACCAATCTCACGAAATTCTGTGGAATTAGACAAGACTGTCCTGCTGATCACAGAGATGCCTGATTATTGGGCTTTAGTCATTTGCGTATAAGCCTGGGTGTTGGTGAACAAACGTTTTCTGGGTAAATGTTTAATGGTTATTATATCAGCCCACCTGGGCTTCTTTGTCATTCTGTTAAGCAGCACCCTGGTGATGATGGTGGCTGGTAATTACTACATGGCTATAGAAGGAAATCGGGATTCATGGCTTGAAAAGTAGAACTAGGAGGAGATATGAAGCCAGGAAGAGGAGGCATTGAGCCATGCCAGGAAACAGTTGTTGAATACAAGCTTTCTTTTTGTTTTATGCTGAAAATGGCAGGTTTAGGAGACTGTGCTAGGGTGGGAATAAAAGCACTGGATCAAGAGGCAGTAGACTTGATTGCCAGACCTGGCTGTGCTGCTAATTCTATGTGTAATCTTACAGATCATAGATTTACAGCTGGAAAAGATTATCCATTCTGAACACTGGGTTTGGAGTCAGGAAGACCTTCATTTGAATCTTTCCTATGATCGCTGGCAAGTTGCTGAGCCTTTGTTTCTTTTGTTGTAAAGTTGGGATATTAACAGCCCCTATGATAACTGCTAACCAGGAAAGCCCTCTCTGTAGGTACTCTTACGCTTCCAACTAGCTAGCTGCCAACAGTTGTAGTGAGGGATTAAAGGAGATTGTGTATATATAAAGCACTTTGAAAATCTTAAATCTTATAAATGGAAATAAACAAGTCATACCCTTCTCCCATTTTAGAGATGAGAAAATGAGGCCCAGGGAGGTAAAGGTTTTGTTTGAGGTTACAAAGGTAGATAAGCAACAGAGCTGAGTTCATATCCTTGTCTTCTGCCTCTAAGATCGACCTTCTTTCTACTATATTACTACCTCCCTAGACTGTTGCAAACACCTATTAACATATCTTTCCAACTTCCATTCTCTTTCCCCTTCAGACTGTAATTCATACCTCTGCTGGATTAATCTTCCTAGTACATGGATCTGGTCATATTACTCTTTTTTTTTCTTTCTTCTTCTGTGACTCCCTGTTTTAGCTTGAATAAAGTTTAGACTCCTCAGCTTGGCATTCAAAGTATTTCACAACCTGGCACCAACTCTACTTCTATAGGCTCAACTCAAAGTCCTTCTCTGCAGCCACCATATTCTAGCCAAACTGGAACTATTCTCTATCCACAAAACACGTTCTGTACCTTCCTGTCTTCATGTTTTTGCTCACTCCATTTCCTATACCTAGATCCCTCTCTTTCCTTCTTCCTATTGAATTCCTGGCTATCTTTTAAAGTATATGCCACATGCTAAATGAAGTCTTCTCTATTTTTCCTCATCAGGGGTATGCTGGAACCAGCTTAAAGCAGCTGGTGAGAGCAGATTATTAAATTTAGAGTATGAGCATTTATCTGCAGAAATCTGCAAACCTACAAATTCAGGGCTTAATTTTATTATTTTGTTGCCTAGAATTAAGAAAGTAATGGAGGTAATGTTAGTAATTCTGATTAAACCTAAAAATGTGTCATGAGTACATTCCCCTCCCCCCGCCCCCCAGAGTCTATTTTCAAACATTTACCAGCACATCCCTGCTCATAGATAGTGATCACTGCCTTTGGGCCTGATGCATACTTTGTTTCGTACTTCTCTAATGTATGTCTCATATATTGTATATTGTAATTTTTGGTATAGGTTTCCATGCCTTATGTAATTTTTATATTTTTCTTAGCATCTGGCCCAGTGCTCTGTATGAAGAAGGTGCGTAACAAATGTTTGTTAAGTTGTTTTTCTCGTTGGGTTGAAATCCAATGCTCTGAATCTTTTGGTTACTTTCAAGAGGTTTAATTTTTCTAATTCTAGAGGACGTCACTCAGCATTTCCCTGAAATCACTCTATTTTGGAACTATATTTGATCTTCATTTTTAGAATTCCTGAAGCTATGCAGATGCTTCTTTCCTTTAAACATTTAATTTTTGCGTCCCTCATGCCTGATATAATTCTTGGCACATGGGCAGGTGTTTCATAAATGTCTGTCGATTGATTGATTTTCCCTCTTCATCTCCCAAACAGATTCCTGTTTTGTTGGTGATCATCCAAAAATACAAATTAAGAACTCAACTTTCTGTATGACTGCCTATCCAAACCTGACAATGGTTAACTTCACCAGCCAAGCCAACAAGACATTCGTCAGTGGAAGTGAAGAGTATTTCAAGTAAGAAGGAAGTTTCTAGAGGACTCTCAATTTCCTTCCCCAAAGAAAACATGTGAAATCAATTGATGAACATATAGCAGTCCCAAACGGGAGTTAGCCAGGGTCCCTAGTCTGCTCACCAGAGGCCAGGGTCAATTTGTCATGCTTCCCATATCTTCCTTATTGAAGTGGAAAATGCTGGTTTTTCTCTCTGGCACGCTGCCTGGAGGCTTCTTTACTTTGCTAAAGTGCCCTGTAGAACTAGAAAAGGAGAGTCAGGTTGAATAATAATGCTTAGTGAGTAAAGTGATGTATGTAGCCCTCCAAATCCCCTCATACATAGAAAGCTAGTTCAGGGTCAGCACCCACTCAAAGTCTTAGCTCATAAACCCCTAGTGATGTATTTACTTTTGCTAAGACAACCATGGAAGACACATTAATTCAAAACAAAAGACAAATCCTACAGTATAGTGAATTGGATATCAAAAGAACGTTCTGTCTATTTTCCCTGGGGTACACTTTCTCACAGCCAGTGTAAGATATTTATTTGCGCAGAAACCATGGAACGTTAATGCAGAGGGCTATACATGCAGAGAGCACATGTGAAGGGACCTCACACATTTGTAGCTGAGTTTAGGGCACACTGTGGCTAGGGTAATTCACACCTCTGACCCTACCAAACAAGCTTGTTCACTGGTGACATCATCATGCTGCTCTCTGCTGAGTACTGTGTTCTACGTGCTGGGTGTCTGCTGGTCACTCGTTGCAGTGCCTCCTAAATTGCTCTCTGCTGCCATCTTCTGGGTTGCAGCAGCTAGTACACTTTTCCTTCGCTACACAGATCTTAAGGTCTTTTATACCGCACTGTGACAAGCCACCGATAGTCTAAAGTCATGGGGTAATGTAGACTAGCCTCAAAATCAATACTAAACCAACAGAGGCCCTCAAGCCAGGACTGTCTGTTTTTTAGGCCACTCCTTTCACGAGGTTACTGTATCTAGTGCTACCTAGATTTGGGGTTGGAATATTCCTTTTAACTCCTCTCAAATCCCAGATTGACAGTCTGGATCTCTTCAAACCATTTTGGAGACTTGATTAAAAAAAACAAACAAGAATTACTAATGTGGCTCATGTGGTGAAGTTGTGGTGTGAGGGGGAATAATGATTCTGGTTGAAATGCAAATAAACTTGAGGTCAAGAGTGAAAGGATTGGTAAGGCCTGAGACAATTGTCAGTGGTTCTGGTAAAGGTGCAGCAACCTTTTTCCTCCCAACCCCCCAAATGGAGGCAGGATGCATTTAAATTTAATCAGCATCATTAACGTTTTCTCCATCACTTTCTTAAGTTGAGACAATCAATAAAACAAGAAATGAAGCCCTGATTTGTAGTTTTGCAGCTTTTCAAGGCATAAGGTTCTAGCAAGCCAGTTCTAGCACACTTCCCGCTATAGACCACCTCTTTGCATACTTCATTTTTTGTTCTTATCTTTATTATACAAATCTGCCAAAAATAGCATACCTTACTGGTCTCCCAAGAGCTACAACCACTGATAATACCACCATTATTAATCAATGGTGATGATAATAATATTACTAGAGGGATATTTTGATGAACTCAACCAGAGCTTTTGATTAATTAGAATTTTGTCTCAGAAAAAAATGACAATAAGGTTCATTTCAAAAGATACTTAGATATTGATCTGGGTATATTCTGGGGTCCACACATTTCACCTCCCTACAACTATATACACCTATGTTACCAGACAACAAGAATTGAGAGTGACTGATTTGCTGTCCTCTGCCATTAAATAAAAATTAAATTATATTCTCTAGACTATACTTATGAAGGCATATGGTTTTGAATAGGCACATACATAGAAATGCTTACTTAGCTCTGGAAGGGGGTAGGGAAGAAGAGATTAACTCAGCAAACACCTGTTAAGTACCTACTTTGTTCAAAGTATTGTAGATACAAAATCGATTAAAAAAAATTCTTGTCTTCAAGGAACTTCCCTTCTACAGTTAATTTTGATTTGACTGTTAAGATATCCTGAATGTCTCAGCATAGGTAAAACCAAACCCAAGGAAGTGTGTCTGCTTTGTGCAGCAAAGGCTCAAATCACTGAATCCTGGCTGCTTATCCATCGATCTAATCTGAAGTTCTCTGCTCTAGAATGCTCAGGGACTCAGTCTCTGCCTTTAAGTGTGGTCAATGTAGTCCCGTTGAAAATCCTGTCTGCTGGTTGACTGCAGTCTAACTTACTGTCACTGTCTTTTTGACTCTCAGGTATTTTGTGTTGAAGATTTCTGCAGGGATTGAATATCCTGGAGAGATTAGGTGGCCACTAGTCGTATGTCTCTTCCTGGCTTGGGTGATTGTATATGCATCCCTTGCTAAAGGCATCAAGACATCAGGCAAAGTAAGAGTTTCTCCTTACTTGCAAAAGCAAAACTTCCAACCCACTTTCCAGGTGGTAAGACATTAAACTGTAGTTGTCACCAGGGGCAGTGCCCTGGGATGTGATTGGTCACCTGGAGGTCATCAGAGGGCAACATGGATCCTATTTTCACCAGAAATAAGGCCAAGTGAAGAAGGTAGAGTGGCCCTCTCACCCCTTCCAACTCCACTTTGGTTACACCTTTCCCTACAGTCCTGAACTGTGGTCTCTTGATCTCAGTTTGCTGTTAACACCAAGTGTTAATTGACAGCTTTGATGTTAGCTGGTCAGATACAATACCTTCCAGAGGTGATCGTATTTTACAGGGGAAACCAAAATTCCTTTAAGAGCCAAGGACATATAAATAGAATGGTGGATTTTGAATGTCAGGGTGCATATTTTTGAGTGGGGATCCTTGGCTTCCTGCTTCTAAATTCTTGCTCCTAATCTAAGAAAGCCTGCTAAGGCAGATACTCTTAAAGTTTTTGTGTCATGGTCCCCTTGGGCAGTCTTGTGAAGTCTATGGACTTCTCATACTAACATTTATTGCCTACAATCATAACTAAGGGAACTGCTAAATTTCAGCTAGAACTTATTGTAAATAAAGATTTACTTATTTTTCCCACCCAAGTTCACAGATCCCCTGAAATCTATCCGTGAACCTCTTGGGAGACCTTGGGTCCCAGGTTAAGAGTCTCTGCCTTTAAGTGTGGCTATATTAAAATAAGCAAACAAACAACCCTTTATTAGGAAAAATCAGGCAAAATTGTGAGGTCTTTCTTTGCCACCTTCTCTCTCTCCTGGTATCCCAGGGAACTCCAGCCTACTTTTGACTCCCCATTGCCCTGGGCCCACTTTACTGGTGTCCTGTTTCTTCCTGTTGAAAAGACTTGATGAGCCTTCCAAGGTGTTAGTGAGCTCTTCTCCTTTGCCCCAGGTTTTTAGAGCTATAGGGAACCTCAGAGATCCTACAATTCATTTCTTTCATTTTATAGATAAACAGAGGCCCAGAGGGGGGAAGTGACATACTGGGTCACCTAGCTAGTTCCTGGAACAGCTGGGCCTAGACTCAAAATCTCCTGATCCCCTGCCTAATTTGCTCTTATAGTGCCCCTAAGTGGCAATTTTAGGATATGAGATGATTTGAACCCTCAGCCTTCAACTGGGGCAGTTCCCACAGAGAACAGAAAATTCGTTAGAGATTCTGGGCTCCTTCTTTAGATCTAAGTTTAGAGTAAACACTATCCATGTTTCTATAACCTCTTTAGGGCTCATTGGACCCTGGTTTTTAGCCAAATGACTTTCCAGCAGAAGCATATGAGGTCTTTGCTCAGTGGTAATTAATCCAGAAAAAGAGAACCAGGAAAGAACAGCTGTGAGAATGGTCTTGCAAGTTACAGAGGAAAGGCTGGTTGACTTAGGAAAGGTGTAAATGGAAGGAGAGGAGCTTCTAGGTCATGACTATTTGACTGAGAAGAGGAGTGTAATTAGTGTGTCCTGAATGATCCATAAATTGAAGGACATTGATTTATCTAGAAAGTGCTAGCCTTGGTAATGGAAAAGGAGAAATTTGATCAGCAGAAAATGGGTATTTGCCAATCTCATTTGACTGTAAGTCAAAAGAATGCTAGACTTGGAGTCAGGGAAAACTAGATTCTTCTTGCTCTGTCACTAACCCTTTGACCTTGGCCCAATCCCATACTCTTTTTGCTCTTGAGTTTCCTCATATGTAAAATACAGGAGTTGGACTCGTTGATATTAAAGCATCTTCTGTCTCTGACATCCTATGAGTTTATCTAAGAGGGTGCTGTGCTCACTTCTTCCCACCACCCTGGAATATGGTCAGGGCTCTTGAGTCTTATGTAGTTTTTGAAATTAGCTCTTTAGCGGTGATAGTTAATGGAACTGTGTAGATAGGTGTTTTTTTTTTTTTTCTCAGAGCAGTTAACTTGTGGCTCTGCCTGTCTGGGAAGGATTTCCAAACAGGGATCAAGGATCAATTACTTTAATGGGAAATATTTAAAGGAAGTGACAAATCACCATCCATTATCTTGGCCAAGGTTGCAAAGGCCTTAATCGTGATGCAGTGCCTGGGAACAGAGGTGAACGACCCACTTAACTTTGCTGGAAAATTTGGTGATGGAAATTACATGAACAATGTCACTGCAAAGTGATAGAGACACATGAGTTCTTTTTTCTTTACTTGAGGATGAGGTTGCTTTCTCCTGGAAGTCTTTAAGGAGATTGAGAATGCTTAGTCACTATTCTTTGTAGAAGAGCTCAACAATAAAAAAAAAACACTAACTTGGATTAAAAAAACCCACCCAACAATTTTATTGATGCCCTTTGATCTTAAAATGGTTATTTTCCAACATGTCCTCTAACGTTCAACCCTTTCTTATCACAAAGAAAAATGCAGGCCAATGGAAAGAGGATTGAATTTAGAATCCAAGACCTTCTTTGGAATCTTGATTCTACCATTTATTACCTGTTTGTCCATGACCTTCAGTAAATCACATACCCCCTCTGGGCCTCAGTTTTCTTGTCTGTAAAATGAGTAAGTTGGACTAGATGATCTTTAAGATTCTTTCTAGCTCCAAATCAATAATCTTAGAACCAATTGACAAAGCAGACACCTTGCAATATGTAGCAACTGTAGCCCACCACTCTTCTCCTGAAAGGAGAAGAAAGACTTTCCATGCCAGATTGACACAGTTCTTAGATTTTTGCTTTCCAGCTCTTTAATCATTTTTTGGTGCATCATTAACCCCTCTCTTCCACATATTCCTTTTAAGTTGTCCAGTCCTGCATCAGACACAATACAATGGTGAAAGACTGATTGGAGATAGATATAGTGGAAGTTCATCTTATCCTTTCCAACTGATCTACTCCTGTTTATCCTTCCCAATAGCGTGTTTGCTTTGGAATAAATAAATAAAGCTCCCTGTTACTGCGTTGCTGACTCATGGTCCATTTTCTGAATGTTCTTTTTTTTTCCTGCAGTGCTTGTATATTTGTATTCTTCCCCAGCTTATATTTATTAAGAAATCAGAATGAGACTGGCAAACTATTGGCAGACTCTTCATTTCCAAAGCGTTATCATCTTTTCAATCAGGTTGACAAAGAAAGATTCCTGTTTCTTCTCTTTGTACTATAAGAAAAAAGACCCCTAGTTCTCAGTAGTAAAGAGTCCCAGATCTCTTAGAGAGGGACATGACTAACCACTACCTTTTCTAAAAGCCAATACAGACACCAAATGCATACTCATTCTTTTCTTGACTTTTGGGCATCTATTTTCTGAACCCCAAACCTGCTGCTATTTAGCGTTGCAGTGAGTGTAAGTGAGAATGCAGAGTGCCTTTGGGCAGCTAGACGAGGGGTCCTCGTTCTGTAGGTGCCATGGGGTGAGGGTCTTCTCTCCCCTGGTAGGCATTGCTCCCTCTGCTTATATCACTGGAGGTAGATACTCTGTTAGCGTGGTGACATTATCCATGCCTCTTTCACATCCAAATCATCAGCATTACTGTTTGACTGTGGATTGAGTGTCTTTTCACCTTTACTGGACGTGCACAACAAAAATGAGTGTCCTCTCCTGTTTAAATATTCCTGATTGCCAGTTATCGGAACATGTGCAAGGGTTCTTTCCTCTAGACCAGAGATTCTTCCATTTTTGGTGTCATAGATCTATTTGGTAGTTTTTTGAAGGCTGTGGACTCCTTCTCATAGGAATGTTTTTAAATCCACAAAATAAAATACATAAGATGACAAAGAAAACCAAAGGTTAGCCAACATTTATATGTGTTTTTATTGCCATCCTAGTTCACTGACTCCCTTGAACTCTTTCCATGGACACTTTTGGGTTTGGCAGGCCTCAAATTAAGAGCCCCTGCTCTAGAACTTTTGAGCAGTCTAGGTCTCCCTCTTCTCCCCAAAGTCAGCTCTAGCAGGACCTGGGAGTGGTAGACCTGCTATTTTGACAGCTTGTCTACCGGTGCTTACAGTAAATTGTTCTTGGCATGTGCTATCATGTGCATCAACGTCTCGACCCATTCCATTCAAAGTAAGACTGTTTGTTGGTCTTTGTAGGTGGTGTACTTTACTGCTACATTCCCTTATGTTGTGCTTGTGATCCTGCTCATCCGAGGAGTTACCCTGCCAGGAGCCGGAGCGGGGATTTGGTACTTCATTACACCTAAGTGGGAGAAACTTACCGATGCTACAGTAAGCTCATTATTTCACTTATAATGCTCTAGTGAAAGGTGATGTGGGACAGTGAATAGTGTACAAGGCTTGGATTCAGGAAAAGCTGAGTTTACAACCTGGTGCTGCCTCTGCCATTTACTAGATAAGTGGTCCTGAGGCACCTCGAGGTGCCTCAAGAAAATCCACTGGATTAATCTATTAGGTTATTATAATGGAAGGGTTGCTGTCAGCATTAGTGGAGGGTATAATTTAGTAGAGTAAATAATAAGCTAGATGGTACAAGTGTGTAAGAGTGCTAGATTTGGAATCAGGAAGACCTGATTTCAAATCCCATCTTAGACACTTACTAGCTATGTGACCTTGGGAAAGTCACTTAATTTTTCTTCTGCTGAAGTTCCCTCGGTTGTAAAGTGGTGATGGGAAGTTAGGTGGCACAATGGATAGGGTGCTGGGCCTGGAGTCAGGAAGATACATCTTGTTGAATTCAAGTCTGGCCTCAGACACTTATTAGCTATATCATCCTGGACAAGTCACTTAATCCTGTTTGCCTCAGTTGCCTCATCTGTAAAATGAGCTGGAGAAGGAAATGGCAAACCACTCCAGTATCTTTGAAAAGAATACCCCAAATGGGGTCATGAAGAGTTGGACATGATTGAAAAATGATTGAACAACAACAATGGGGATAATAATAGCACCTATCTCCCAGGGTTGCTGAGAGAATTAAAGGAGATAACGTGTGCAATGCTTTGCAAATCTAAAAGTGCCATATAAGTGCTACCTAGCTATTTGGACTTATTTCTTATGTATGATGGATTGGACAGATGTGTAGGAAGAACCAACTTAGCATCGCTCATCAATATCACTTTCCTTCCCATCACCATCTGGTAAATATTTTGGGGCTGGTCTGCTGGGTAGACAATGGATTGTGAACATCCCTTCTTGAGAGCAAGGATGGTTTCATTCCTGTCATTGTAACTTCAGCATGAAACATTTGCCCTGGCACATAATTGGTGCCTAATTAATGTTGGCTGATTGATTACTTACGCTTCTATGTAGACCTGGAAATAGATTTATAAATTTAGGAAATTTTAATTTAGAAAATGAATTAAAACAAAAAAAAAATGCATATTTAGTATTTTCCAGATTGCCTAGATCAGTTGTCCAAATCTCCTGCCTCATATGTGGTTATGTGATAGCGTTAAAATGAAAAATGGAATTCCCTTGATAATATTCAGACTATCTCATGATGTCAGTGTGGTAATAATGATTATGTCTATGAAGCCAAGTTACACAGGTTGGAAATTAACTGTACCCAGCCAACCATGAAGCAATTATATTTCCAAAGGGACCAGACACACTTATTACTCCCAGCATTCCGAAGTGGGCACGGAACGCACCGTTTTTTCTGTCCTAACTTCTCTCATGCTACATCACTGTGTTCCTATTTTAAGAACTCCCAGTGTGCAAAAATCAGTAAATGAGGGTTTAATTATTTAAATGACAGGAGTTTCCTTGCTTTGGAAAAAAAAAGATTAATCTTGTGTTTCCTTTACATGTGGAGTATATATATGGTATGTGTGCCAGGGCCCCACTGTAATGCAATGGAAACCATTGCACTTGGAGTTAGAGGGAGGACCTGCTCAGTCCTTGCTCAGTTACCTGTCGACCTCAGGCAAATCACCTTATGTAAAATTAGAGGCTTGGACTTCATGACCTTGAAGGTGTCCTCTAGCTCTAGCTAGATCTAGGCTCCTATGATTCCTAGGGACTGCAGCTATGAAGACAGCACCTTTGGGTTTAAGCCTTGCTTGGTAGACTTGCTTCAGCAGTGACAAAGAGGTGAACCACTCATGTGGTCACTGCTGTCAGCACAGAGGAAGCACTCTGAAGTGGGGTTGTCAGCAAGAAGGCTATGATGTGCCATTCATCTGTCAGCTGACACTATGCACCTGGTTTATGGGTTGCTCTCATTGGCCTTGAATTTGGACTGGGCTTTTGCAGTGTTGGCATCTGGCAAGAGTCCATGATCCGAAGGACGCTGTCCCTGTAGTTGTTGGTTACCACCTCTTTGTTGTGAATTTCTGGCACTCTGCCCAGGGTCAAGGAGCTCAGTCATTGAGTCAGGACAGGATTATCTTGTCCTTGTCCCTGGAGATTGGGGTTTTATCGGACAGTACCTCTGGCATTGCTAGTCACTATCATTGTCATATTTAATAAGAAGGATCAGGCACTGGCCAAATCTCATTCTCATTCTGACAGATATGTGCCCCAGACTGCATCGAAGTGCTAGAGATTGGTTTTCAGACAGGACAGGACAATCTATCCCCAAGTTTTATCTCTCTCTAATGAATGAAAAAGCATTTATTACGAATTTACCACATGCTAAAACCTGTGCTAAATTCTAGGGACCCAAATACAAGACAGATGGCCTCTGCTCTCAAGGGGCTTACATTGTAATTGGGGGAGAAAACACATCTATAGGAGGATTCATCAGCAGTGTGGATGGTAGGACCCAGCAGTCCTTTGGTTTCAGTGGGGGTGCACATGGTAAGATGCAGGAGTCTTTGAGGTACGTGAGCAGGTCAGTTCCAGGAAGGCTTGGAGTTGGTGACTCCCTGTTCATCCAAGCAGGGTGGCTGTGCCATCTTGCAGTCTAAGGGGTGTGGTTAAAGGGCCTCTGATGTCATGGCATCTTAGATTAGCATTGGAAGGGACTTGAGAGGCCATCTAATTCAAACTCCTCATTTCACCAATGAAGGAACCAAGGTCTAGAGAGGTGAGATGACTTTTCCCATCGTTAATTCACATACTCTTGTCTGATGCAGCACAATCTAAGACCCTGCCAACCAACAATTACAGCATGCATGGAAGTATACTTACAGATGTAACTTAATAACAACTTTATACATATGTGTTTAATATATATATATATATATATATATATATATATATATAATACATACATACATCTATTTGTCTGTCTGTCTATCTATCTATCTATCTAAATCCCCCTGCACTTGTGGCAGTCTATGGATCTCACTCATTGCTATCCTTCCAATGCTTTATGAGGGTAGTTAAAAGCTATACATTAAGGGGGCAAGAGATGTGATTAGCTAAATTATAGTGAGATGGAAGACAGAAAGTAATCTTTGAGCAGAGCTATACAAATATGAAAAAGATCTGTGAGATCCTCATTATGGGAACCCCCTGGTATGGGCACTGTCCGCAATCAATATAGTTTGCAACTAGTCTATAATTTAGAAGGTAAGTCCTAGGGATTTGTGTGAAGCACAATATTCATTCATTCATTCATTCATTCATTCATTCATAATGAGTAGGAGAGTCTTACCCTAAGTCACAGAGCTAATTTATGTCAGAGGCAGGATTTGACTCTGTCTTCCTGATTTCAAGCCAGCATCTTATCCACTATACAGTACAGTCTCTCTGCAAGGCAGAGATAAGGACAATTGTTACTGAGGACCAAACTCTTGTAGTGAAACCATTGAATAGAAAGGAGGCTATGTAAGAAAGAAAGCATTTACCTCTATTGGACTCTATTATGTGGTATTTTTGATGAATTTATCTACCCCAGATGACACAGCAAAACAAAAATGGGAAGCATATTTGTGATCTAACTGAGCATTGGAACTTTGTTCATTGCATAGAAGTGACTGAGCTGAAGTATGTGCTCAACTAGATGGTTTAGTCAGTCCAACCCTCTATATTAAGTTTTAAGGAGGAGAACTCTGTTAAGAACATCCCAGGTCAATAATAACTGTTTTTCTCTGTACTTTTGTTTACACATTTGTAGATAGATATTGTGAAGTCTGGATATTTCTCGAAGTAATAAGCAAATATATTTACTAAATTGCTGGATTTCATCCCGTAGACCTTGGGAAAAACTCGCAGCAAAGACAGCTAACTTAGGTTCTTTGTTATCAGGTATCTTCTGGTGTGAATTACTCCACTGGGAGTCATTCTCTGTGAAGACTTTAGTTATTATTCCCCAGATCAACCTCTGTCTCATTAGATTCAATTGTAAACCCACGTGTTTGACTTAGTCATGTTTTTGAGATGGCCCACATGCTGAGCTTCCCCAACTTTGCATGGCACTTGGTACAATTCCTTTGAATTTTGTGAAACTGAGAAAATTCCCCTCATTAATTCCACTGAAGTTTGCCCCTAAAGTTAACCTGACATTTCCTTTCCTTTGTCTCATAGGTGTGGAAGGATGCAGCGACTCAGATTTTCTTCTCTTTGTCTGCTGCATGGGGAGGTCTGATTACTCTTTCCTCTTACAACAAATTCCATAACAACTGCTACAGGTGGGTTGGAACCTGGCTAAGGTTGAGGTGGAAGTGGAGAGGTGAGGAAGTTCAGGGGGTGGAGCCCTCGGCTTGGACTCAGAGTCCTGGGGTCAGGGTTGGTGAATCAATCCCTGACTCTTAACTCTACTGAAAAGCTAGTGGCTTTCCTAGGGCAGGGAGGGAGTCAGTGGTAGGTCAGGATTACCATACTGTAAGCTCCTGGGGGTTTATTTCTAGAAGTCTCATTCTCTCCACTCACACAGCAGTTACCCTAAAGTAGGTCCTCATCACCCTAGACCTGGATTATTTCAATAGTCTTTTGTTTTTATATCTAACACTACCAGATATACTCACTGCCCCCCAACATGAGCATTCCCTTGTAACAAAGAAAAATATTTAAGTCAACACACATGACTATGTCTGATAATATAATTCAACATTTTATTCCCATAGACCACCAACTCTCCAACCAAAAGAGGGAAGATTCTTTTAGACTAGTCATTCAACACCATTTACTGGCAGCCTATTGTAGGAAGAGTTCTGTGCTGGGTGCTATTGGGAAATACCAAGAAATTTAGGACATGACCTTTGTACTTGAGGTGTTTATAGTCTAGATAGGGAGAAAGGACCTGCCTACCTGAAAAGTATCTGAAAATATCAGGGATTGCTGTCTATGAAAGGTGCCAAATGAGTGGTATGCAGAGTAAGAGTTATCAGAACTCAGAGGAAGAAATCGCTTTGGGCTGGGGTCTTTGTTAAAGTTTTCTTGAATGAGCTGGGATTATTTCTAGACTTTGAAGGATGGGAAGAATTCCAGTAACTGAAAGGAATGGTTAGAGCATTCCAGATTGGAAAAAAAGGTGTAAGCAAAAACTCTGAGGCAGGAAAGCCTAAGAAATGTTTGAAAAACAATCAATAGATCCATTAAGCAGGAGTGGAGCTATTTGTAGGGAAGAAGAGAGAAATAGAGTGAAGAAATAAATTGAGGCTTTATGAAAGAAGGCCTTAAATGCCTGGTCAAGGTGTTTGGATGAATAATGTTATAATTACTTGTTAATGAAGGATTTGAAAATTTGTAGGCACATGGAAAATGCAAAGGAATGCAGGATCCCTGTCACTTTAGAAAAGACTTCCAGCTAGGGCAGGTTGGACAAACCTATTCACTTGGGGAAACAGTGGGCTTCTACAAAGATGATGTTTGGGAAGTGAGTGAAATTTCCATTCAGCTCCTCCCACCTCCTGTCTTGGGCTCTTCTTCTACCTTTCAGTCCCCTGACCTAAGCTTTGTCTGGCTATTCAGTTCCCAATGCAGTGCCCCAATCAATTTCCCTGTCTCCAGCACTACTTATCCTCCAATCCTTTGTTGCCATGTGTTTCCCCCAAGGGCATCCCTGCTCTGTATCCCCTTCCCTCAGGGTCCTGCTCTGCTCTCCTCTGATAAAGAAATCCTGGCAAATGCCATAATGAATGATAAAAGATTGCCCTATTGTCCATCACAGGGAACGCATTCACATTTAAACCGACTTTCCAGTGACAGTGTTTAAACACAAAGATACTGGGGCAGATTTTTGATGTGGGGTACTCTTGCACATCCCTCAAATTACATGGCAAGATTGTATATGGGCCCTGCCTATTATGAGTAGGCTATAGAGAAGAAACCTGTCTATAATAAGGATGGATTAATGTTCAACTGTTGATCAAGCAACCAACATTTATTAGGTGCTACTATGCTAGGGATAAAGGTACTATGAATGACATAATCCTTACTTGCAGTAGCCTTGAAACCGTGGACCATGCCCATGCCCACATGCTAAGTATAACATGATGGCTCTTGTCTCTTCTTTCCAGAGACACACTCATTGTCACCTGTACCAACAGTGCTACCAGCATCTTTGCAGGCTTTGTCATCTTCTCCGTCATTGGCTTCATGGCAAACGAGCGCAAAGTAAACATTGAGAATGTGGCTGACCAAGGTAATGTAGACAACCTACATTTGGATAGTGTTTTAAGGTCAACACCATATATGTCACTACAATGCAGTTGAAACCTCAGTGGATCACCCTTACTTGCCTGCTCTGCCTGGTACTCAGGTCTTCAACATGTGATGGATTCCTATTAGGAGTAGGGGGTGGGGACAGAGTGAAATGACCGGTGGATCAGACAGTGGGAGCTAGATGACTTCTGTTGGTTTCTCTGGTGTTTCCTGAGTCCTAGAGGTTTGCAGACTAGCAAAGAGGATGCTTTGAAATATTCCTTCCCTCTGCCACCATTCTTACTTTTCTTCATTAATTTCAAATGAGAGTAAATAAGTTGTGAGCTCTACTTTAGTTGAAGGGGGATTATTTATTAGACTAAATTGATAATTATAATAGCAGTGTCAGGTGCACTCATTTGGATAATGATGGTAGGAGAGTTTGTGGAATTCTAATAACAGGAACAGAAATATCTTACTTTTATAAATGATTTTTATTTCCAAAGCACTTTTATGGATTTTATCTCAAAGCTATGTGTCTAAAAACTTTTCTTTCCTTTGGAGGATGGGAAGAGAGGGCAAGTTAGGGAAAGGGGAGGGGTGGTATGGGAAATCTGTTGCACGATATTGAAAGCTCTGAACCACACACCACAGCTCTGTCACTGTATTGGTGACCTTGGTAAAAATTATTTCACGCCTCAATTTCCTTTTCTATGGAAGGAGTCTACTGATGATCTCCAAGCTGCCTTTTGGCTTTCAGACTCTATGATTATGATTCTAGGAGAGATTTTCCTTCCTATGCTGTGTCTCTAATATGTCTAGCACAGTCTCTTGCAGATTTTTTTGTTTGCAGTTAGGACCTGTGATTTAATCTCTTTAGTAAACTACCTGTAGAGAGACATGACTGTAATTTATTGTCTTAACGAGTTGCATGGGATGCTGAGAGAAAGGACTTTCTCAGGGTCACATAGCCTGTGTTTGTCAGTAGTAGGACCTGAATCCAGGTCTTCTTAACTCCAGAACTTGCATTCTTTCTACTACCCCAAGGTATCTCTCCTTTCGTAGTCAATCAGTGTCGGTAACTGACTAATGAGGGGCAGCTAGGTGGCGCAGTGCACAGAGTGCTAGGCCTGAAGTCAGGAAGACTCATCTTCCTGAGTTCAAATCCAGCCTCAGACACTTACTAGCCGGGTGACCCTGGGCAAGTCACTTAACCATGTTTGCCTCAGTTTCCTCATCTGTAAAATGAGCTGGAGAAGGAAATGGCAAGCCACTCCAGGATCTTTGCCAAGAAAACCCCAAATGGGGTCACAAAGAGTTGTATGTGACTAAAACGACTGAACAACAAAGTGAATAATGAATGTAAAGAGGTGGCTTATCTCATGGGCGAGTGATTTTTTTTTTTGTGGGGCAGATGGGGTTAAGTGACTTGCCCAGGGTCACACAGCTAGTAAGTGTCAACTGTCTGAGGCTGAATTTGAACACAGGTCCTCCTGACTCCAGGGCTGGTGCTCTATCCACTGTGCCACCTAGCTGCCCCTACCATGGTTGAGTGTTTAACAGACAACAGTGAAGAGGCAGAGCCTATTGTTAGTGGTTTTCCTCCACTACCAGCACCTACCCGCACCCCCACCCAAATCTGTCTTCACTAAAATGGTTGTTTGTTCAGGGGTGTGCTTTAGCCGACATGAACCAGCTTGGGAAAACAGATCATTATGGTTTCAGTGTGAATATTTATACTTTGGAAAACTGGCAAGTGTGAAAAATCAGGCCTGATTTGTTTCGTTGGTTATATAGACTTAATAAAGTATCAATAATGCAGATCAAACTTGAAATTGTTTAGTGGGTACATTTTTTCCCCTTGGAGAGACGGTTGTTAAACATTTACCAGCACGCCCTGTTTGTGATCTAATGATAGGAGTTATAGACTCAGAGCTGAAAGGGGCTTTAGAGGTCCTGTAGTCTGACTCGGTCATTTTACATACAGCAGGGGAAGTGACTTCCCCAGGGTCACACAGGAAGTAAGTAGCTAGCAAAGTCAGAATTCCAACTCAGGTCATTTGATAACAGATCCTTCTGTGTGAGTAATATCTGCAATAAGATGGCAGGAACTTTTATGAATATAGAAAGTTCCAGGGGGATGAGTTAAATGTGTATAAGTATTCATGTGACCTATAACTTATAGAATATGAGACTGACTGAAGGTTTCCAGGCACTTTTCTGGAGAAGCATCTGGGAATGGCAGAAGCTTATGTTCTAGTGGGGTGGTGGTGGTGATGTTAGCATGACTGAATTGGAAGGAACCTTTCGAGGTTATAGGTTATGAGACCACAGATGTAGAGCTGGAATCTCAAAGGCTTTCTAGTCAGTCAGCCAGTCAATAAGTTAATTTATGAAGTACTTACTATGTGCCAGGCACTATGCTCAGTGCTGGGGATAAAAAGAAAAGCAGTCTCCCTTGAGGTGCTTACATGGGAATGAGAGAGACAACATGCTAATAACCTGATGTAAAAGGCATATACAGCATGAGTGGAGGTGTGAGAAATTGTGGGGACTGGGAAAGGCTTCTGCAGCTGGGTGATGAAAGAAGCCGGGGAAGCCAAAAGGCAGAGGCAAGGAGTGACAGTATTCCAGGCATGGGGGACAGCCAGTGAAAAGGTGCATAGGTTAGAATGGGAGTGTAAAAAGGCCAATAGCACTGGAATCTTTTATTTTACAGATGAGGCAACTGAGGCCCAGAGCCTTTAAATGGCAATCCCAAGGTGAGAGGTAATTAGCATCAGTGATAGGATTTGAACCCAGGACCTCTAATTTCAGACCCAGTGCTCTTTTCACCTAGACTGTCTCAGAGCATACCCTGCCCAAAGCAGAATGGATTGATTTCCAGGTTGCCTGGCAACACAGTCCTATTACCTCTGACTACTAAGATCCTGTTCCCTTGGTTCAGTCGCCTTGACTTTATTGTTGTGACAATGGAGTGGAGTTTCCAGGGATTTAGGCCATTTGTTGCTGGTTTTCCCAGCAATAATCCCAAAGGGATTTGACCTGTGATTTCAATGATGAAGAAAATCCCTCTGCCTATACAGTGAGTTGCCTAAAGCACTGAGAGGTTAAAGGACTTCCACGGGGTCACACCAGTCAGTATTTTTCAGAGGAGACACTTGAACCTAGGCCATCTTGAAGCTCCAAGTTCAGATTACTATCATCTATGTTATGTTTCCCTTCTTGGGCATAACTCTAGTTCAAACATCTCATCTCCTTGGGAAAAGATATGGTCTTTCAAATTTAAGAATTGAAAATCTGGATTGTAGAACTAAGATGTTTTAGTAAAGCCATGTGTTCTGGGAAGGAGAGACAGCTATAGTGACCTGGAACCTAATGCTGAAAATCCTTATTTTTTTCCAAAATGGTGGAAATAGAGCTCTTTGAAGTAGGATGGATGAGGGAATTAAGAGCTTTGGATAGCAGATGCTCAAAAAGTGTTTTTTTCTCATTGCTGAACAATGAGAATGAATATTCACAAAGATGAACCTGAGACCATTCAAGAGCCTCAATCATCAGAGAAAGATTCAATTATGATCGCTTGATTCTACTCACTAAGGCAGAAAAGAAGACTCAGAATTTGCAAAAAGATTTTCCAACAACAAGGTGGAAATAAAACTTTTCTTGGTAGTTCTCAATGAAATCAATTCATAGGAACAGTTTGAAAGAGGCAAATCTTGGCTTGACATCAGGAGGGATTTCCTAAACAAATGGAGCTATCTCAAAATGGTTGACTTAAGGAAGAAGTGGATTCCCCTTCATTGGAGGTCTTCATTGACCACTTGTCTGGGATATTGTCCAGGGGATTCATGGTCAAATATTGGCTAGATGCCCTTCCATTTTTGAGATTCTGGAATCCATATTAGTCTTGGCCACCATTTTTTTTGGCCATTCTTCCCACTTCAACTCAAAACAAAGGGTAAAGGAGGCATTTTATGATTAACTGAGAGACACTTGAGCCTTCACATTTCTGTCAACAAAACTCTGAATGAGCAAATCCTCCCATGGTGGCTCTAGGTTAGAGTTTCCACCATTTAAACCTACTGCTATTTTATAAGAACTTTTCTTAATTTCATATATATCTTATTAATGTTCTTAGTTGGTCAGTTAATAGTTTTTCTGAATTTCTGCTTCCAGGAAGTCTCTACTAGTCTCTTAGGATAAAGAGGTAAGGTCTAAAAAAATTAAAGCAAGTGATAGGTACTATGATTTATTATTATTTTTTTCTTCTGAATACTTTGATATTATCATATATTTAGATCTGGAAGGGACCTTGAGAGGTCATCTAGTGTAACTCCCTCCTTTTACAAATGAGGAAGTGAATCCTAGAGAGTTAAATGATTTGCTCATCACTCAGACAGTAAATAGCAGAGCTGAAATTGCAGCACAAATCTTCTGACTTGAAAATCCAGGATCCAGATTATTTTACCATGGATCTTTGATCATGTTGGAATGAATATTCCTTTCACTTTTTAGATTATAATTTACCATTGACTTCTAATATTTTGTGATTCTTATCCATATCCTTTCACATAGTCTTCAAAATGCACTGGAGGATTGCCTCTGAGTCTGTTAACATTGTGTGGATATCAGTGCACTAGCCAGGCTGTCCATATATTAGCTCTCAATTTGGCTGCATGAATGATTTGTATCTTTTTCTTGCCATACATGTAATTATATCTTTTTCTATTTAGAATGCTCATCACCTTTAGTAATATGCTGTGGTATACCCATATCTGTCTTTCCATTGTGTCACCTGCAGTTTTGATTCTTTTAAGATGCAAAATGGCTCCTGGTCCTCTGCAACATTTTGATTTCAACCCACTGAAATTGGAGTAATTAGGTATTTTCTGAAGAAAATTTTGAAATCAATAAAGTAGACAGTGATTTCCCTTGGCATGAGAGCTAACTGAATATTTATTGAGAATATTTATAGGTGAAGCTGGAGGGCACAGAGCA